CACTGCAGGGTCAGCAATGACTGAGCGCAGACAAAACAAAAACAAAAAAAACTTGAGTCTGAATATGCTATCAGAGTGGTATATGCAGAGAGCTTTTCTTAAGCTCTCTGAGTAGAGAGATATGATGTTATGTCATCCTCCCATATGCAGTGTTTTACATCAGTGTTCTTGATGAGCTAGGTTCTGATGTCTGAATACTCTCTGTATTCACAAAGAAATCACTAACTGTCAAAGTCAAAGTGACAGATCTTTGACAGATTTTTTTATTTGATTTTCTAAAATTTCCAGTTCTTCAGCTAGGAATTATAATTTATTTCCTTTCCTTTGAGAGAAACTTAGATTTCTCCTAAATTCTGTAAACAAGTGTTCTGAATTTAGGTTAGATGATTTATTTTCTTCCTTTGATTTCCCAAAACATCAATGAGTTTAACTTCTCTGCTAAGTTCCTCTATATCTGAGGTATCAAGATTTATAGTTCAGGAAGGGAAATATTCAGTCTCTTTTGTTACTGGCAGAAAATAACTAGCAAAAAAAGACAGAAAGACAATATCAGGTCAATAATGAGTAGAATTTCTAAAATACCCAAAACTCTTTAGGGAAAAATAAGAAAACAAAGCTACTGAATCAACCGCATTATAATTCAGCAGCATGAAATATTGAATGAGTTGAAGACAACAGAACAGGAGATGTGTAGGTATACATAGATACATGTAAAGTATACAAAAATAATACGTGAATAGGTAATTTTTCTTGGCTCACCGAGTAGTCATTTTTAAACGTCCCAGGGAGAGAGAAAGGGATACCTGTAAATATGACTGGATAAATTAAATAAGTTAATGTAAACTCGAATTGGTCGTAAGGATGTTAACAGTATCCTATAGAATATAACCTATAGAATAAAAATAGAAAAGAAAGGGCAGGAATCTAAAATAGCCCAATGAGGATTAAGCATGTTCAGCAAGAACAGACTGATAACTTGTAGTATAGGGAATGTTCTGTTGCAGTGAGAAGGAATGAAAACAGGTTCTAAACAGAAGTAGCTGGAATTTTGAACAGAAAAACACAGCCAGTGAATGCTTGGGAGGGGAAAGAAGGAAAATTATAGGGACAAAAAATGAAACAGAATGACTGACTCCTGAACAGAAGCTATTTACATTATAGCATTTTGTCGTAATGCCCCATTTGATTGTGTACAAATTTATAGTGCTGTTTGCTTATTTGTTTGTTTGCTTTCTTGCTTATTATCTTACTTTTCCTGTCAAAAAATCAGTATATGGGACCACATCATTTTATCCTCAAACCCATGATAGATTGGACTTGAGAAAAAGTAACTGGCTCAAATTCACATACTCCACAATTGAGTGGAAACACCGAAGACTTGCTTTTTCCCTCAGGCATTGGGTCAGGAAGTTAGATGAGCCATTTTGGGTGGTAGTAGTGCTATTTATGTAACTATACGAGCTGCCCAATCATGATTTTTTTCATTTTTATTGTTGATTTTGTTGTTTTAACTGGTTGCTAGCTGCCCATGGTAAGTGGGAGGTCATTCAAATTGAATTAATAAATAATAAAATAATAAACTTGCAGATTAATTTGAAACTGCTATCAAATGAATATTACAGTGGAAGGTAGGAAGGTCCTTAAATTGATCTCTAGATGGCAGTGTAATCTCACAGATTCTGTGTGTTGCCTGATTACTTATTTGATTTTTAGCATTTACATTTTGTATTTAATTGTTTTTATTTACTTAGTTATTACATTTGCATAGCTACTTATGAAAATACATGATCTAGTTTATTTTTATTTTAAATAGTCAACAGTGTCATTCCTGAATTAAAATATTTCACTAATTTTTCATTTGGCACCATTATAACTGATATCAAATTAATCAAGTATAAAGTGAGTGATGCGTATGGGGGCAAACATGCCTGATTTTATACATACACACTGGTAAGTCGGAGCTCATGATGACTAGACAGGAAAGGGATCCTGAAGATGAGGTAGATGCAGTTGCATGGGAAAATTTAAATTCCCTTAGTTAAATTCTGTTGATGAATCCCTAAGAGAACAGGAGCTGACACAAATTCTGCATGGTACAGAATTAAGCACAACATCCTTTTGCAAATTTTAACACATGCTTAGGGATTCACAAAAAATTTGACTGAGGTGCCCAAACTTTTGCATGCAGTTGTAAGTGTGTAGCAGTTCTAAGAAAAGGTGAATCCCATGTAATGGATTATTAAGAAAAGCATGAAGATTAAAACTGCCTTTATATAAATCTGCAGTGCAAATATGCTTGGAAAGTATGGTTGGTCAGAAAAGGATATCTAAGGGAAGGTTAGAGAAAAAAATACAGTGTTTGGAACTCTTTACCTTACAAAAATGGTGACAGGGAGAGTTGTACATAGTGTGGATATAACAGCAGGACTGAACCCCTGGGGTAAGAGATTTGAGATCTCAGACTTCATTTCCCAGAAATTCTCTGTGATTATAAACACTACTTTCTGGCTTGGTATTAGTGCTGTCACCACTTGTCTTCCTGGGAATTACTTTACCTGATACCCTCCCCACTGGCCCCAGCATGTGAGGCAGATAAGGATTCCACAGCCTATTTAGTGTCTGGCAAAGAGAAGGAAAACTCAAAACAGTATTAAAGGAATTTCACATAAAAAGCCATCAAGGAGACTTTTTTATTTGGGACAGATGCAAGATGTGAAGGATCTGCAGCTCAGAGTCCAATATGTAATAAATATAAAATAGCTATGGTTGCACTGATATAATGAACTTCAGAGACAATAGTTTTCAAAGGTGAATAAAGATATTAACTAATATATAAATCAAAGATCTTACTGCAGATTCTTGGCTAAAACATTCACCTGTCCCCTGGAGACAAACAGAGTTTCTCAGAGTTTGCTTCCATAGAACTCACCAGATTCCTTTAATCAGGGGCTCAAGAACATTTTTTTCTGTAGTTCCTTTTCCTGGCAGGGAACATCGTTCTCTCTTATTTCCATAGAGATTTGCTTCCAGTCTTTTTAAAGATAAGGCTTCTCTCACCTCAATAGGGAAGAGTTGGTGTGTGTGAGAGCCTCTTCCTGCCTATGTGAGCAGGAGAATGTAACATTTGGAAAGATTCCACTCAGGAATTTTGTTACATTCCCTATCTGGGCAGTAATTTATAGTCTGGAGCACTGTCAATGCAGGCTGATTTCACAACAGTGGGAGAAGTGAGTGTAATTTTTCTTCCTCTCCAGTAATGGTGGAATCCAGGATCACTGAAAGAATGATACTCCAAGATTCACAACAAACAAAATGTGATATTTCTTCACTAAGTGTAGAATTAAATTGAAGTTTGTTCCAGAATATGTAATCATGCTACTAACTTGGTATTTTACTTCTAATAGTAACAGCAAGGGTGTTCAATATGATTACCATGTGAGATTACAGATAGTCCTTACATAAGGTCCATTCATTCAAGTGACTGTTCAAATTTATGACAGCACTGAATGAGGGGTCTTACAACTGGTCCTCAAAGTTGCAGCCATCACAGCGTCCCCAAAGTCACATGATCTTGATTTGGACACTTGGCAACTGGCTCACAATTACCAAAGTTGCAGCGTCCTACAGTCACATGGTCACCATTTGTGACCTTCCCTGCCGGCTTCCCAAGCAAAGAATGAGGAAGCCAGTAGGAGGTTGCAAGTTGCTCCCACTCCCATTGCTTTTTCTCCCAAGGAGCCCCTGGGTGGCATGGGGATATCATATTCTATAGCACCCGGCCACCCACCCACATTTATTTATTTATTTATTTA